CATAAAACATAGAGCCTCGGTAGTTTTCCTAAATTAGAACTTGAAGGAGTTTTCTATCTTTTTTTGGTTTTTGTTTAAGATAGTATCTATAAGCATTACGGTGCAAAATAGTTTACATTAAAAACATCTGGGTGATTACCAAGGAAAAGTTTGCAGACGAACTTAATATGCGAAATCCAAAGTAAAAGTAATAAAAATATAAATCCCCACAAAGCCTAGCCTTAGATAGATTTTAATTTTTAAATATCTGAACATGATCAAAATGCGTTACAAACTTTCTGAAGTCTTCGCTACCTTTATGCAGCACAAATAATACATGTTAAATATAGTAACGGCTCCAGCTTTTCTTAATTGGGGAGGATGAGACGTATAATGGGGCTAAATCTAAAATTAATCTAAAGTTAGATTAATGGATGGCATTATCTTAGGGAGCCAATGACATTTCAGGGGAGGGGAATCGCTTCCCGCTAGCGCCTGTCCTGGCAAGCAAGTTATACACAATATTTTGTTACTTTGTTTTTGTTTTTAAGCTCAAAGCTACACGATGGGCTGTCTGTGCTATCTACTGCAAGTATCGAAACCTGAATTTTAGCGGTGTGAGTCCTCGGACGTATTGCAGATCCATTGGAGGTCATTTTGTGACTTCGGAAAATGTCATTATAAACATAGTTTCGACTAAGTTTTAAACAAACGACTCCGATGAAAACAAATTAATAACGAAAGTTACTAAAAATATTGTCCATACTTCTTCCACGTGAAGTTTCACTTCGATATGGATCTTGTGATTAAAAATTAACGAAATAAAGAAGGTTTCTCACATTTTGAACTACCTATTCTCTTATCTACGACAATTCGGTTGTAGTTAAACACATTTACGTTCGTCTAATATCGTCATTTATGATCTGTAAAGTTTACCAGTTACTTCACGTTATTTCAAAAGAAGGATTAGTTTATAACTCAAGCCAAAAGCATGGAGTCCAGAAGATAACCTCCTCGCTTTTATTTCATGCTTGTCTTAATGAGATAGAATGAACGAACTTCCGAATATCTGT